ATCTTTATCGGAATCGATTTCCAGATCTGATCCAACAAATCGTAAATTCCATCTTGATCTTTTTGCAATTCAAAATTCTTGGAATGGAGGACAGTTTTGACACACTGGAATGTTTAAATTAACATCGATAATGATCATTGATCGGTAGCGATATACGCTTCCGGAGTACACAAATAGGAATATGTCCTGAAATGTGATCCCGAAAAAAATTTTGGAAACAAACACTGTGAACCACCGTGTTGAATCATGTTTTCATTTGCCATTCAATACATAAAATCATTCACAATATCATATACAGGGTGTCCCTAAAAGGTGCGGAAAAAAAGCTACCACAAGTTCTTGAGGCGTGAATATGACGATCTAACTCAACTTACCTCAGTCCAAAAGTGGATGATTTCAGAGATACAGAGTGTCAAAAGTTCAATTTGATTTTCATTTTTTATAAATATCTTTTTTAATAATTGGTGTATTGTCACAATATTCGGCTTGGGGGGGTTTTGCTGGTTGAGAGATTAGAATTTGCTATCATTTTTATTGTAAAGTCAAGAGGGCGCCACCTGCGGAACCTTGCACACATTTAAAACGAAATAACTTTTTTGAGCCACCCCATATTCAATTTTTAAATGAGAATTCGGATTGTCCAACGTATTCTACATAAAAAATGTATACGTGGTAGGAGTTGATTCGAGCAGCTGTTTTTGAGATATCTGGATTTTAAAAATTCACTTCGTAAATGGCCAGGTCTAAATTATTATTATTAAATTATTATTATTAAATTATTATTATATTATATAAAATAACGTCACCAAAAAAAAAAAAGAAGAAGGTACATAAATGTGTTGGTAATTTTATTCTCTAGTAAAAATAGTCATTAGGAATAGGAGATTTATTAACAACAAAAATTTAATTTAATTTAATTAAAAAAAATTATGCTGAGTTTAGGATTGAAGGTTTCATGGTTTGGTAAGCGACGATTAGGAAATCTTTCACTGTATACTTGTATGCAAGATTCTAAACCATTTCCCTGGCAATATCCAAAAACCAATAACATATCGGTCATTTCTTCGTTGGTATACATTGCGGCCATGACAAAAAAAAACTTTATTATTTGTTTGACAATTGTCTTGACTTGTTTTTTAGATTCGATTTGACCCAAGTCAGTTCTTAGTGACGTTATTTTATTTCACCGCCTACGCTTCAATTTTATTATTACAATAATTTAGACCTGGCCATTTACGAAGTGAATTTTTAAAATCCAGATATCTCAAAAACAGCTGCCCAAATCAACTCTTACCACGTATACATATTTTATGTAAAAGACGTTGGACAATCCGAATTTTCATTTAAAAATTAAATATGGGGTGACTCAAAAAAGTTATTCCGTTTTAAATGTGTGCAAGGTTCCGCAGGTGGCGCCCTCTTAACTTTACAATAAAAATGATAGCAAATTCTAATTTCTCAACCAGCAAAACCCCCCCAAGCCAAATATTGTAACAATACACCAATTATTAAAAAAAATATTTATAAAAAATGAAAATCAAATTGAACTTTTGACACTCTGTATCTCTGAAATCATCCACTTTTGGACTGAGGTAAGTTGAGTTAGATCGTCATATTTACGCCTCAGGAACTTGTGGTAGCTTTTTTTCCGCACTTTTTAGGGACACCCGTACAAGTTGATGTTCTTAATTCATTCACCTTCAGGAAACATTTTTCAGTCGAGACCAATTGCACCACTCAATCCAGCAAGATGATATTTTGATCCTTATAAATCACTTAGATAATGTCCGTACAATTGTGAGGGTATAAAAAAAATATGAATATAATTTCAATATACGTGGAATAAGGACAAATCAGATGATTTTCCCCAAAATGTCACTGCGTTTGAAGAATTTTCCTATCAGAGAGCCTGAAAGAAAAATTCACTAGCTTGTCAGTGAAGAAATAAAGGTATATAGAAAAACTATCAAATATTCACTTAGCTTTGGACGTTTCGGGACCGAATCTGCTCCCGTTTTCAACATAAAAAATGGTTATTTGAATAGCAAATTGGTATCTGTCTTGAAACTTTTCACTTCTCAATTGACAATTGGTGACGTTGGCAATCATTGAGACGAATTGCCCTTTTTTGGACAGAATTCAACAGTTTCAGGGTATGTTTGGGAGCTGCACTCCAAATATGGGAACAGTATTCCAGGACATTGATTTATAGCTCTTTTGAATGAGATATCACTTGACCCCCACTCCCATTTGAGAAAATTCAGGAGATGATACCCCCACATTCCACATCCTAAAAAAATACAGTCGAAATGTAAAGAACTTCTGTGAAGTGAATACACTGTATCATAAAAATAAGAGGGCGTCGCGGTCGGAATTTGAAAACATCTAAATTTATATAGGCTTGAGCTGCAACGTGCTCTTCGTAAATAAGTAAATGGTTATAATCTCTCGACCTATTTACCTCAAAATAAGGATGTTTACTTCTTCAGAACCCTTCAGCTTTTTGCGACTTAGCTCCAAATTATCTTCTCCGTACACAAATTAATATAAAGTATTTTTCCATTTTATGCATGAAAAATTCGACAGAATCCATAATAATTGTAGCTAACCCAACAACACGTGGTGATCCAATTGGAAAAAATGATATTTGTGAGGAAAATTGCTTTTTTCTGAGTTACAATCCAATTCTTGATCGCTCGTATACTCACGAAAATTACATTTCGTTAATCAAGTAACTGTTGAAAACATTTACTAATCTTCAGCAGTTATAGTTTCTGCCTGCGCGGTTTAAATTCAAAATGTTATGAGAATTCAAACATCACGGAACGACGAATCCTAGGATAACACCCAACCATAAAACACATAATCGTAGAAATGTATACAAATAAATATACACGGGCAATATTCATGTCATTGTCAGTACTAAATCTTTTGATTTTCCATTCCAAAATCAACAAAATTCACTGAAAGTGACAGATCTCGATGACAGACATAATATTATCCGAGATATTATCTGTCCATTTTGAATATTTTCGGCTAAGATTTCTGCTGAAATCTGTGGCAGAGTCAACAAGGAAGTGGCGAGATAAATTTTCAGGATGCTGTTACAAAAATGTTATAGTTGGCTTCTCATCATGATTGAATATAGGTATGAAAGCTGATGAAAATTATTCAGATCAGAATATAATATATTATACAATCTGCTCAGAAGTTCTCTAATCTTTTTTTCTTGATTTATCATCTCATATAGCCATGGAACAGCTGAATTTTCGTAATATTCACAATCACCATATCCATGTGTCACATATTTTCTGGCATAATTTAGAAATAGAGGGGCACTCTCATTGATTTTGAATAATGTTCAAATTGAACACAGGCACAATAATTAGTGATTTTGCACAAAAAGTATTTAGCGAGGTATTTAGCTAATAAGCTAGATACTTATTATGAGTAAATGGGGGTATATTCTCGTAGGTATACCCCAAACAACTCAATATGCTACATCAATGACCGGTATTATAGAATAATTGATGATTGAATTAAACTCTAAAGTTTCCTGAGTATGAAGACTAATTTAATCAGCGATGAAACTGAAAAAACAACACCTGTTAGGCTTAGAGCGCCATCTTCGATCGAATTAGACAACCCACCAATCAGGAATAACATATTTCGTACACAATAGAGAGAGACAGCCAACTTCAAAACAATCGAAGATCGAGCGAAGGTCTTTAGAAACTCTTCTGCAACAAGTGGTTACGACTGAGTCACTTGCGCATTTCTAAGATAATTCAACAATGACTAAACGATACTGGGTGTATAATATAGAATCAACACCCAGGAAGCTTCGATAATTGCAAAACAACAATGGCAAAATTACTGAATAGTGGGTACTTTATTTTAGGGAAAGCAACAGGTGGAATACTCCCTACTTCCCTGCAAGCAATGAATGCAAAAAGCCTTTTTTTTAAAAGAAACTGAAACTGCGTACTTACTTATTACATTCTTCGCAGTACATAAAGTTCACGTCAGTCGAACCTTATCAAATAATCTCGACATTTCTCTCATATTTATTTCTCTCCTCTCGTACAATTGTCAAACCTCATGATATCACCACAGGAACACGTTTGTTTGTTGACATTTTCCGAACTGCGATGACATTTCATTGGAAATAACTTCATGCGTTCCAATGCTAAAAACTCACAAAACCAATGCACAGCGATAAATTAATTGCGGATACAGCGATAGAGGTCGCTACAACGAAACAGAGAAGAAGTTTCCAAACAAAAACTACAGGTCAAGCACAATGACAAAACTTGCCGATTTGTTTGCATTAGGATTCTCTTCCACAGAAATACCCCATAGCCAGATTTCATTGGGCTGTAGTGGCGTAATACCACAGTATGTCCTTATTAATATACACAATAACGGTTGTTTACCAGGAAATACTTTCGTCGATAAAAATGTACACAAACATAATGGGAGTTGAATGAAGAAAGCTCTACAACACTCCACTAGAGTGCCTGGAAGATCTGACATTTAATGCTTTCTTATGAGTGAGAGAGCTAGGACACAGTTGTCATTTCTTGGAACATATGATGAAATACCTAATCATTATTATAAAAGATGGACCAGTAGCTTATCACTGAAGGCATATTATTTTGTTTATAAGATATCCTCATACACCTATGTTCTTGCAAAGGTACCAAAATAAGGGAAGTTGGTGATCTTTGCAGAAAAAATAGACCCGAATATAATGAAAACACCTTGTCATACCCATTGACTATAAGAACTGTCATACATAAGTATCTAGTTTGCCAATTCACAATACTTCAACAACTGTTGTTTCATTCATTAAGCATTCAGAATATTCTGCAAGATTGAATGAACGTTTTCTTCCAATTGACGTATGAGAAATTCATCTTCATCGAATTGTGTCCGCACTCTCCAAACAAGCATTAATTGTCAGATCTCCTAGACACTCTGCACTCCACCAATCTCACCTAAAGAATACATGTCTTTCCATTGATCGTACTTGAAATCCATCCACGCGACGTTTCCAAACAACCCCGCGAAAATCACCCTCAACCCTACCGAAAAATCGCCACCAGAAAATCGGTCATAATCCCGACTTGACGATTCGCAAATCAACGGTTACCCGCGCCGCGAGTGGTGAACCACTTGACGAACACGTGAGCGCTGGTAGGCGGGTCCTAGACAGGTAAGTCAGTCAGAGCGCTGCAGACCGACCGACCGTGCGCGTTAACGGTAAGCGTTGTACTACAGAAACAGTTGGGGAGCGCTGGCCGGCGCTGGAAGTAGGCCGTGGAAGCGACTGCCGGCCGAGTGCTGGCCAGGGAGCGAGGCGCTGGGAGGGGAGTATGCCCGGCCGCCTGCGATGTGTACGATCGGGCAAGGCGCACTCTTCCTGGTCCTGCTGATCGACTTACCATCAGTCTAGAGTTCCTCAACGTGTTCGACACTTTGCATGCATTGAGGAACTCTAGGTAAGGTATTGAAGAGGAATATTTTCAGATATATTTATGAACACAAAAAAATGGATATATACTGTGAAAGGTTGGGACATGGCTCGTCTCTGGACTCCTGGGATAAAAACAAGTTGATTTAGGCCAACTTACCTATATCCAAAGTCTCGAGGTTCATTTGCAACTAAATAATTATGTTCAGTTTTGAAATTACGAAATGAAAATTGAAATGTATAGTAGAAGTATTGATGAGCTCGAAACTTCCAAAAAAATCATTCGTATCAGTGATATGGGAATTATATGACTTCACTCGAGTAAAACTCATTTCGGATATCAAATCCTCATCAGTATCCTGAAGTCCAGTTATTCTTTCAGACATTCTTCATGATATACACAATTTTCATTTCCTATAATCTAGGTAAGGTCTGTAGTACTCTGTAGCAATAGGAATATGAGTCGAAAATTGGAGCTTAAAGAAATTTCATGAATGAAGGTATAGGCAATTTAAATTCCAAAGAGGGTACGGTCGATGGGACTAGGTCAGGTTAGGTCAATACGAAAATTCAGCAGTCAAGTAAAAATATAATAGTTGAAGTCGCAATTTAGAGATTGAAATCGAAATTTAGTATCGTAAAGTTAAGAGATCAGTGAAGAACAATCAGGTATTCTAATCGGAGCTTACATAGTTTTAGGAACGAAAGTCCAAGATTTTGGAGATTGAAGAAGACAAGTTGAATTTTAGGAAATACTCGATGCTGGTTTCATTTGAAAAATAAAGTGAGAGGATTTTAGAGAGAACTTACTTGAACTCAAGATTATATAGTTGACATGTAATTGAATTATTGAGTCGGAGTTTGGGAATTTATAATTTATATAGTCGAAGTTTCGATGCAAAAGACGAAAATTTCTCGAGAATAAAGAAGGAACTATGTATTCAATGCAGGTTTTTGAGAAATATGAGTCATGAATTCAAAAATCATTTGTAATTTAAACTGAAAGTTCATAAAGACTTCCTTTTCTATAATATAGAGATTGAAAACGAAAATTCAAAACTCGACATATATTCGAAATCTCTATAGAAATTCTAAAGAAAATCTAAATCCGAATTTTTCTGAATACAAAATACTGATTTTGAAAAAGATTCACGATTCGAATATAATATAGGAGTCCATCAGTAGCAGACATTGAAATCGTGATAAAATTATTAGAACTAAACTTCAGAAATTGAAATGAACTGAGTATTTAAAGGATTGAAGAAACAAATCTCCATAGGTCTACCATAAACTGATTTTCACAATTTCGTTTCTACCCCAACCAAAGATTTGTGGTTACTCTGTATATAATGTCTAGTCTATAAAAATATTGTATAGTGGGACAAAAAAACGCGTACATCCACACATAAACACAAATTCTATGAGTACGATCGTTTTATCAATGTCGAGCAAACAAACTGATTAGAAGTTTTTAACCCAATTTTGATATCACATTGCATAGCACTAAATTTAGAAATAGTAAAAACTTGAACTTAGTAGACGAACGAATGCAACAGCCTCATGATTAACTACAGGGCAATACAGAGAAGTTATCACAAATAAAATTTCTCGCATATTTCAAAAATATGCAGGTAATTTTCAGATCTATTACTTGGCATTGCCATGACCAGGTCATCAACTGATCTTATGGTGTAGAAGGGGAGGTCAGGTTATAGGTTAACACCGAACTAAAATGAATGTTATTGATTTTTTCAAATTTACATATCGATTGCATTCAAGTTATCATTCCATATTGCGAGACAAGAATCGACAGATAATACAGCTCTGATGATATCAAGTCGATTTTTTCTCAAGATCGGCAAGATTGCAAGGTTTTTCGGGCGATCCATCAATTTTGTAATGCTCTTCACAAGTTACTTTCCAAGATCCATCAGGAAAAAGTATACGTCTCATCAGAAAAACAAATTGTCCTTCAAAACTGCAATGGATTCCGCTTGATGCTATATTTTTTCGAGATGATCTCTAAAAGTTTCCAATGACCTTCATGACTTTGAGGCTCCCAAAGATTATGGTTTCCAATGACATTTACAACGTCAATGACTTATGAAGTCTTTCAGCGATCTCTTGACTTTCCAAAGATATGCAACTTTTAATGATCGATAAAGACTTCCAATTTCTGGAGACCACCATTAATATTCATACTTACACCTAAAAAATAATTTTCAATAACTTCGAACGGATTGGAATTGACGCCTAGAAAAAGGGGCCAACTTACACAGTTTTCGATCACTTCTTATACTATACTGTAAATTATGATGGGTTTTGAAAAAAAAAGTTTTCTCTGCTAATTTACAGTTGCGACTTTGAATTAGGAAAGAGACACTTTTTTTCGAAATATCTCCCAATATCCCCATATCCTGTTCTAATTTGCAGTTGCAACTGTAAATTAGGCAGAAGTACATTTTTCTGAATTACTCCTAATTCACAGTTGCAACCGTGAATTATGGTTATTTTACAGTTGCAACTGTGAATTAGGTGTTTTGAAAAAAGTTTTCTCTGCCTAATTCACAGTTGCAACTGTAAATTAGGAGATATTTAATAAAAAATCCTTCTGCCTTATTCACAGTTGCAACTGTAAATTAGTGCTAGTGTATAGTTGCAACTGTAAATAGAGAGATAAAAAGAAGTTTTCTCTGCCTAATTTACAGTTGCAACTGTAAATTAGGCGAATGTTCGTAAAAAAAAAAGTTTTTTCAGGATGGCAGTTTAGACGCGTCCTAAATTGACCCTTCAGGGATGGGTAATAATTGTTCGGTATTCTGAAGCTTGGTCAGTATTGGTTACATACATTTCTATTGCCTAACTATACACAATATAATTGTGATTTTCTGAGATAGCATAGCGCGAGAAAGTCCCTGAAATGATCGACAAAAAACCCATAACAATTTCATATTTTTTGCGCTAGTTCACACCGCATGCTCACTTCGTGCTTCCCATGACGACGTTGTTGCGAAATCAGCCATCATCAGAGAACTTCGACAATAGACGATCGACATGACACTAGGAAGGACGGTACAGTTACGCAACTTTCGATCGCTTCTTATACTATGTGGGGTTCGTTCACCTTTCGGTGGACTGTGAGTGTGCGAAAAAAATCCGACGGTTTCACTTCTCTCTGTGCCGGAGAGAAAGTTGACCCACATCACGTCCAACCTGAACGTTTTGCGGCTGTACGGCGGAGGCAGAGCTCGTGTTGTTTTATAATACGGATTGCAGCGGGGGTTTGCGATAGATTGCCAAACACGCGGCACACGAAAAATCATAAGACGTTTTTTCATTATCGAAAAAGCCGTCATAAAACCTATACTCCCATCTCGTCCATACGCATCTATCACTTACTAGCTGACCTGGCAAACGTTGTTTTGCTATGTACATGGTCTTCACATATTTTGTGAACCCCCACTTAACTTTTTTATGTATTGTTAATTTTTTTTCCAGGAACGTTCTCTTATATTTTTTCCTGTAGATTTCATAAATGTCGAAAGAAAAACAGTTGAATATCTCAAAAAATACTTATGGGCAACATTCATAATTTTTTCAATAGGACACCCTGTATTTTATTGCATTTTCAGATTCTCCCTGGAGAGCTGATTTCATCGATCTATCACAGTTGGGGTCTAGCTGAAATGATTACAGAGACATAGGGTGTGAAAAATTGAGATATTTTCAACTTTTATATAATAATGACGGAGGAATCAAAATCTCCGACTCCGAAATTGATACAAGAAGGACAAAAAATCTAACTTTATAATTTGTTTCAATTAAATGCCCATTTATAGTGAGTGGAAAGTTGAGATAGGGACATGTAAACCGTTTTGACGAATAATGAACAGTTTCGAGAGAAAAAAACCCTGAACTTGGAAAATCTCAATTTGGCACACCCTATATGCCAGTAACTATCACTGCTAGACCCTAAGTATGATACGTCGTTGAAAACAGATCTTCAGGGAGAATTCAAAAATGAAATAAAATATAGGGTGTTCCAATGAAAAAAACATAGCTTTGATGTGCAGTGACCTTACGGAACACCCTGTGTATTTCAAAGAAACTTTGAAATGTGAAGCTCGGTTATCACTTTAATTTGAATGCAAAATTTTTTTTTGTATCTCTCAAGGCAACAGAGGTATCGAACTCTGGATTCTTAGTTGGCCACCCTGTACACCACCGGTTTTTCTGAGTTTCATATTTTTATTAGATTGAACCATTCAAATAACAACTTTTTTTATCCAATGAGTGATTTTGGTATCTAGTTTGATTTTTGGGGAAACAATAAAAATTCGATTTGACTCCAAATTTTCATGTATATAGATGTTTTCAAGACATCCATTGAGATTACTCAATAACCCCAATTAGAATCATTTTGAAATTTTGGGGCTTTCTCAGTCTCCTCTCCATCCATACTGAATTTTGGCACCACGAAAGCTTATACAGGGGAGTTATAAATAAAAACACAATCAATACTTCCAACTTCAACATCTTGTATCTCAAAAACGGTGCAAGTTAGGACACATGTATATATGAACTTTATTTGCTAGAACGTCACAAGAAAGCACCCCTTGAATTTTTTCGGTGTTATTTAGATACACCCCTGTATGGACGAACAAATTTTGGACATATTTCAAGGTTGACGACGAAAGGATATGCTGAATAGGCTTGTCGAGTTCGTCTGACTGGTATTGCTAGTGATGGAATCATAGCAGAGATTTCCGACGAACATCTCCCTTGAAAGTATCTATAGAAAAGTG